ATTTTATTCCAAGAGAACACGAAATTATCCTAATCATCATGGGGCACTGATAATGATGAAGATGTACTCTCTCCTAAACACCGTCTCCCTGCACCTTAATTGAAATGACAAGGTAGGCTTTCATTTACCTAGAGTTCAATGTCAGGACATGAGAGCTTTGAGAGCACTGGTTCTCACCCTTGGCCGCCCATCAGAATCACCAGGGAAGCTGTACCCCAGAGCAATTACATCACAGACTCTGGGGGTGGGACCCAGGTATGCATACTTTATAAAGCTCTTTTAGGGATTCCAATGTCCTTCAAGGACGACAGCCCTGGAGGCACTAAGTAGGCAACAGCCCAACAACTTACTAATCTTAGAAATAAATGTATTACACTGTGTATATCCTTTTGCATTTAATTTTTCATTGAATGTTTTTTGAGATTTATCCATATTAGCATCTCTCTATCTATTTATATACAGATTTATATCTAGTTCATTAATTTTAAACTCCCTTGTATTATTCCATTAGGAATAAACTACAGTTTATTGATTTACCTGATCTATGGATAGCTTATTTACAGTTTTTAAAAGCAGAGGCGCAATAAATACCTTTTGGTACGTTTCCCTGCCACCATATGCAAGAGTTCCTCTAGGGAGGGTAGACACTTCGGCATGGTTTTGTTGGATATGTTCATCTTCTTCTTTACTAGATACCGCCCCCTTTTTTTTCCCCAACATGGTCACACCAACTGACTCTCGCCAGCAATATTAAAGCATTCCCCATTCTCCATACCCTTATCAACACTTGACAATATGAGAACTTATAAATTGTGCCAAAATGAAGGTTGTGGAGTGGTAACTAATAGTTATGCTTAGATGATATTTTCCTAAGGTCTCTTCTGGTCATATTATTGTGGTCACCACATCAACGCCAAGTCTTATCAAAATAACAAAATAAAGGATGTGGAAAAAAATCTTCCACAGTTTATACCGAATTTACTTTTCCTCAAGAAATGTCTTTCATGGCTAATGCTGGCCCATGAACCCATAAATCAGGCCATTAAAGAGGAATGGGGACATGGCTCTAGCTCTGTATTTATTTTCTTGTACTCATAATCCAATGTTACTTAAAAAGCAAACTGCCCAGTATTCAAGCCAAAGCAAACACTCTGGATTTTGCCAGGCAAAATGCCTGTGGAGAAATGAGTCAATTCATACAAAATTCAAAGCTGTCTTTGGTCAGTGACATTTTCGTGAAAATCTGTGGGTGGGTAAAAGTTTTACAAAATTCCTTTTTGCTATTGGATAAAATGCATCCAGGAAAAATAAGCAAAATTTAAGTGGCGACCCACATTCCCTCTAATTCCCTTATTAACACTCCCTAACCTCCCAGCACAACTGCCTTCTATTGTGCGTGAAGGAAGCCATCAGTGTTTCTGATCCTGGCAACAGGACCCTGTCCCTCCCTCCACTTGCTCTGCTCCGATCAGATAGGCTTTCTCAGGAGGCGCCCTGGCGGCCTGAGCAAGCTCCGGCCCATTCAGGACACGCCTTCCTGGGAAGGCTACCAGGCACCGCACGCTCTTCACCTTCACAGCAAGATGACCTGTGGTCAAAACATGCTCAGCATACACTCTGTCGGAATCACTGCTATGGGTACTGTTAGGCATGGTTAGTGTACATCCAAGATTTGTGTCACTTGGGAATCTAAAACCTTATTATCTCAGAAAAACATAATAGAATTTAGCACAATTATACCCAGAAATGCTCAAAAGTTTTGTTAATTCCAAGATTCATCAATTTGTCTAAATTTAGGAAGGTTTAAATAGAATGATTTTGCACCTAGAAATTACTTTAGTTAGTAGACAGCAGTGAAAGGACTCAGATATTTTTAGTATAATACTGTCATATCTCAGTTTCTGATTTGACTGAGTTCTGCCTGTCTGCCTAGCAAGGCCTTTACTTCTCGATACCTTTGCCATTGGCTGGGAATCTCTCTGTCACCCAGGCCATGCCTGAAAGGAGAGCACCCGGTTTGGCTTTCTTTCCGCAGAAGCAGTAACAGTGAGATATACAGAAGGGCGGAGTTGTCTGGGTGGGAAAGAGAAAAGAAATTCTCTTCCTCCAGTAAGTTCACCAAATAATACACTGACGACCCTACCCCAGTTCTGCCACCGAGAACCTTAAGCGGGCTAAGGCTGAGGAATTACAGTCAGGGATCCTGAGAATGCGTTCTCCCACACAAGAAACGGAATCTGGCGTCCGGGGAGGACACCAGCGGCAGCCTCTTACCGTAAGCAGCTGTCATTGAGTAGCCCTTTCACACACCCTTCTACCATGACTCCAAGAAGCTCATTGTGCTGCTTGTAGCCATGGTCACCAAACACAGTTGGGTCACCACATCTTTCTTGGGTCAATAAGCTAAGTGAGTGAAAATGATGACTAACTCTAACTACGGACCACAGAAAATTAACAGCAGTTAAGCATATGTGAAACAAAAGTGGACTGAGTCTTATAACTTAAAGTACTCCTAGCGTCTGCAGCATGTGACACAGCCACAAAAACCCAAAGATCACTTCATGTCTCCAAAAGAGGAATGTGGTCATTTTACTTGGCAAGGATCTTCAACTTCGAATCAACTACCGTCAGATTTCAAAGCAGTAGGAGATGAAACATTTCAGTTTTAACAGTTCTTTGTATCTGGATTCCAAGAGTGTAAAGGTTGGTTTTACAAAAGACAGAAAAAAAATGCAACTTTTTCAGATGTGCGTCGACACTAAGCACAATGGACTACAACTTGAGAAGACTGATAAACTTTCACAGCAAAATTATATTGCCAGTTAGCTTTAGCCTTTTTACAAATCAAGCAAATGACATGTAGCAACATAAGTTTTCAGAAGACATAATGTTCATGATATGTATGTGTTATATGAAGATGGATGTTCTCCTGCTAAAATTACAGAGTCCCAAGATCAGAACTGCAGCATTAGTCTGCTCCTAAGAAACCCTGCACTATAACATGTGTAAATAAATGCTCTGCAGTTCTGAATTTGATATGGAATTAAATTTAACAATCTGAATTTTGCAAAGATTCATTTAGAAGTGGGAAGTAGGCAGACTAGGGGAGATAGAAATCGTTTCCCATACCCATGCTGAACAATACAATAAAAAGTTATGCAGAGGCTTGCAAACATTCACCTCTTGGCTTATTCTTTCACTGAAGTATTTCTATTTTTAATAGTCACCATGCACTTCAGCAAAAGTCAACTTGTTATATGCCTTTGCAAAGTCTAAGAACAGTGGGAAATGGGGAAATCCTATTGCACAAAAATTAATTTTGCAATGCAAAAAATATTTTTTGGATAATTTAAGCCTGTGTGTGTGTGTGTGTGTGTTTTCAGTAAAACCAAATCCAGCAAACTATTTTCAGCCAGGATTAGTCATAACTAAAAGGTTGGACTGTTTTCGTTCAGAGAATGAATGTCTTTCCTGCCTGCAATAGGCCTGTGTGTTCCAAACAGAGTAAATGGAATTGCCTTCAATTGCTTGTCTCTTTCTGGCATTTTTAATGCAGAACCCTACTGACAGAGTAAAGTTTTGCTGCCTGGAATGTAATTATTCTTTTCACTCATATAACCTGGCAGTTTCACAATGTATCAGCTTCAGGTTTTCTTTAAGAAAAATCACAACATGGGGCATAACGTAACAACAAGAAATGCAATTTCATTCAGCCAGAAATTCTTAAAACTCTTTCAAAAATACCTATTGGATGGTGAAAAAGTGCTGCTAATACTTGCATTACAGCTATCATCTGTTTGGTTTGCTTTTACATGAATCAGACAACTTGGCCAATCTATAATCAAACCAACTTGGTCCAGATTCTTTATCATGAAGACACACTATGGAAAGAAGGAATTCTGTCTGGGGGACCCCAGTCTAAATAAGTTCTTCTTCAAATGATTTATAGATCCCACCCATTTACTGACCTGTAGATATTCAATATCCAGGGAGTACCTACAATTCTCAGATTTTAGCTCTAAATGAAATAATCCTGTCCACGTAAGCTAATATAAAACGCACGCTCTTCTTTTTTTGCAAGAGTTAAGTGAGCTGTCTGAGATTGTGCAAAGCTGCCCTGTGATCCCAGGGGTGATGTTCTGCTCATAAACACTGAGGGTTCCTGTTAGGTGTGAGACCATTGTGAAATCATTTCAGAGCCACATTATTAAAAAATGGTCAATTTTGCCAAGAAACAGAGATAGTTCCAGGACTGATGTTGTGAAAGGGGGAGGCCGGGGAAAAAGAGACACCATGCCCACTTCCTTCAACAACATCAGAGGGACATTCCCCTTGGTTCTTTCTCCTATACTTTCCCACAAAATTCCCTCTCCTCAAAATTCAGCGAGATTCTGTCCCTGTGGCATCTCCCTGGGTGTTTTATGCCGGCTATAAATCATTTACGAGTCTCACAACCCTGCAGTGTTGCAGGGTGCAGGGAGGCGAGAGGGTGTGTGCAGCAACTTGTTTACTAGTCAAGTTGCTAAGTGTGAGTTCCTTTCAAATATCAGAGCCACCCCTCCCCTAACCCCAGTACGAGGCTGGTTATTAGAGAGAAAGAAAAATCACTGAATATTTGCTTTGGACAAGACATAAAGCTTGCGGGTGGTGCAGTGTGTGTTCCTCTGCCCTACACATTTCAGCAACTTCAAGTTGGTGCTTGGCAGGCATCTGTTTTCCAAGATTTTGGACATTGTGGCAGATCACCGTCCCTGACATGGTGGATCATTTACATCTGCACAACAGAAACAAGAAGTGAAGGGAGATACCCAGCAGCTAATAATTGAAGAAACCTTCCCCTTCCTCCGCCTGAAGAGGAGTCTTCAAGTCTCATGGCCACCTAGACGGCCCAAGCATCATCCAAATTCCATAAAGGGGGAAAACGTCCCGACTTGTGGGCCAACTTTGGAAAAAAACACCTACACTTGGCCACGGGCTCCCCCGGGCTTGGGAACACTCACCGTGCACTTGTTGGGCTTCTCCCCGGAGTGGACCCGCATGTGGATCAGCAGCTTATAGCGGGCGTTGAAGGGCTTGTACCTCCGAGGACACCCCGCCCAGAAGCAAGTGAAGTCTTCGCCCTTGCGCTGGTCTATGTGCACCTTCTCGATGTGCCGCACGAGCTCCTCCTGCTGGTCGTACAGGGCGCTGCAGTCGATCCAGCGGCAGCAGTGCTTGCCCCCGACGTCGTCCAGCTCGCCCTCGTCCTCCAGGGCCAGCGGCTGGGCGTGCGCGCCCAGGTCCTGGTGGCGCAGGTGCGCGTGC